TCGTCGAATTCCAACTGCTTGCGCTCTCCCGCGCGTCAGCTCTACTTTTCCTCTCCTCAGCTTGCGCCAGCTTGCCTCCTCTCGCCGCTGCTGTGTTCGTTCTCTTTAAACAACGGCAAGCAGGCAGGCAGGCAGGCAGGCAGGCAGAACTGTCCAATCGCGGGCCAACATTGGACGGCTTCAGTATGTGTGTGTTTCTCTCTGTCATGCAGTTCTCTGTGGCAGCAGAGACAGACCATCGGCTCACAGAGGTTATGCAGAGCGCAGTGTCCTAGCTCTCTCGTTCTCAGTGCTACCGGGGTCAGAGAGAGCGAGACAAACAGTGTTGACGAGATTGTGTGTCCATGCTCACCCGGGTAGGGGGCGGGGGGAGGGGAATTGATTTTCTTCGCTGCCACACACCACCTTACTACTTCCTTTCGGTGGCTGGTCTTTAGACCCGCTGGGTACCCCTGAGTGCTAACCGGCTGGCTTTCAGCCTGGGGTCTGTTTTTGTGTGTAGCTTATATTCATCCGCGCTCAGACGCATCTTATCCGTTTACAAACTTGAGTGTGATGAGGTGGGTGGGTAGGTAGGTAGGTTGATGATCTTCTGCCCTAGCACAGTGTCTCTTGTAACTTTTGGGGTGACAGGTATTTCAAGATGGTGGTTAAAAAAAACAAAATTCCCTTCGGGAATTCAGAAAGTTACTCTTGCTTTTTAGAGCTGTTGACAACCACAACAAGCGGCCGTCGGGTGAAGATTTCGTTTCGCGTAGCGAACGTCGCGAGGCTTAGTGATTTTCATCTTTGGCTGCGAAAAGTAGAAACTTAATTGTTATGAGCAACTGGTTTAAAGTTGGAAGAGGTCACTATTTAGGGTCCATCGAGCTTGAGCTGATGAGTGCTGCTGTTTGGACTGTATCATCAATCCTCCAGCACATCTGGCAGTAACTGGTTTAGAATCATCCTTAGGGTTGTAAATTCTTTTTTTATTAATAAAAACATTGTATTTAAATTACTGTCGGTTTGGCTCCAGATGCTGAAATTATATAATTTACTTGACCCAATTGTGAAAAAAACTCGTGACGTCGGCGGGAGTCGAACCCGTACGGCAGCGAATACTCTACCGATTTGAACTACGACACTAAGCCTGCGCCGCGAGTTTAATCACACTTGGGTCGATTTTACCCGCCCAACTTTACCGCTTGTATGGAATCCACCAATACGAAACAGCAAGCTGACTGCCCAAGCAGGACTTCCTAAGCAATCAATCACAATTGAGTCAAATAAATTAAGCAAATCTGCCAAATCCCCTAAATAATTAAGCCAGCCTAGTAGTCATTCTGGAATTTAGCACAGTGCCATTTGTAATACGGGGAGTTCTTATAACCGTGTCTCACCGTCCCGTTCGTTGGATGAACTGTTGGAGTTCCAATCCACGGCCAATGAGCTCATTCGGTCAGCCCTTCCGGTGTATATTATGAGTCTTCTCTTTGTGGATCCCACATCAGACGAACGTTCTTTAAAAGTCAAGGTCAGCATGAACACCCCAACCACACGGAACCTTTTTTTCATCTTTTATTGGTACCATCTACGTGTAATTGTGCGAAGCCCTTCCCCCTACCCTCAGTTTCATTCTGGTTAACGTTTCAGCCTGCACAACAAGTCAGTCTACTTCAGGATTGGTCTTCGCAAAATGGTGAACCGGTCGAGTTGCAAAGACCTTCACAAGAAGATTGTCATTGAGGCTGACGGCAAAACTCTCGACCTGCCTCATCTCGAGGGAGTGATTGTGCTTAATATCCTCTCCTGGGGAGGTGGAGCGAATCCCTGGGGTCTGGACAAGGATGACACCTTCACGAGGCCTACACACTACGATGGCCTGCTGGAGGTTGTTGGCATCTGCGGTGTGCTCCACATGGGTCAGATTTACTCCGGTCTCCGAACCGGTATTCGACTTGCTCAAGCAGCTCATGTAAGCCCCC